CCTTCAAATCGGACAATCAGTTTTCCTAAAAACCGCATTGCCGGTATCTCCGAAACGGCTGGACCTGCCTTTGCCAATAACTAATCAGCAAGAAATTAATTGGTATTTATAATCATCTTAAGATACAACATACCTTGTAAGATATTATTGTAATGAGATAAAAATTGTAAGTAAGAACAGAAAAGAATAATTTATAAATGTCCATAAACATAAGTTCATTGTTTTATGAAATTGGTTTATTTATTTATTTATTTTACAAGCCGTCGGAATAATAATATTATAATAAGGCTTAAGTCAATATTTTATAGATTTAATATAATATAATTAGTTAATTATTAATCTTTACAATACTTTTACAATATAATTATTTTATAACAAATTATTAATACTATCATTATCATTTTTATTATTATTATCAAGTATTTTTACAATATAAGTTTTTTCTTTTACATTAAGTATTTTGATGAAAGAAAGATTTTGTTTCACAATTTTTTAAGTGTTTTTAAATTATGAGTTTTTATTTAACTAATTATTAAGTATTTTAACAGTAACAGTCATATAATAATAGTAATTACAAAAAAAAGTCAAAATTTTGTTTCACAGTTATTATTATTATTATTATTATTATTAGTTTAGAAAAAACTAGATTTAATCTAATTTAACATCTAGTAACAATAATGAACAATAATATAAATTTAAATAAAAAGAGTACAAAATAAAGGATAGAATTTACATTAAAACGATATCCGTAGTATGTTGATTTAATATAAAATAAAAGCAAATAATAATAATAATAAAATTAATAAATAAAATAAATAAAATTTCTGAATAATAAAAATAATACAAGAAAAACATCTTGGTTATTGTAACAGAAAAATGTTAACTTTTTGAACACCCACTTTTTGGACACAGTCTTTCGACATGCCCTTTTGTATTTGACATTTAATAGCAAAATTTAAATAAAAATTCGATCACTCTCGTACTTAAAATACAATAAATAATGCAGTGCATGTAATAATATATTACGTAAAACAATTAAAAGCAATCATTTTCCGATTTTAAATTAAAATATAAGTCAAGTATATACAAAATTAGTTATGCAAATTATTTAGAAGTCTTTAATTGTTTACAAGATGGCGGACATATTTAGCGTATATTAAATTTTATAAACAACTGTCAACCTACCCCGCAAATATAAGAAAAATAATAAATAAATTTATATAATTTATGTAATTTAACACGTTTAATTTTATAATTTAACAGGTTGAGGATATACAAAATTTGAATAAACACTACTTTCAGACAAATAATTTAAATATTTATATAAGGTACTTACCACTTTCGTTAACACTCAGTATATTCTTATTTCGAGAACACGTCACAAATTTTCAAAGTCAACACTTTTGATATAAATAGTTCGCTAAGCATTTTTACACTAAATTACATTAAACATTCAGTTGAAAATCACTATTACTGTTTAAATTTTGAAAACAAGCCACTGTTTTACGTAATCGTTCGCAAATACGTCCGACGCCTTCGGTGGTTTGCACGTTACTGAATGAAATTGAACCGACGCCGCGAATGTCAGAACAACCGGTGTGAAGTTGGTGCCAGTACAATGGTCGAACTTCACGTCTAAGGGTTGTCATTTGTCAAATTTAAATTTTATTATTATTATTATTATTATTATGAATTTTATTATTATTATTTTTATTATTATTATTATATTGTCTAGGGTTTGCACGTTACTGAATGAAATTGAACCGACGCCGCGAAGGTCAGAACAACCGAAGTGAAGTTGGTGCCAGTACAATGGTCGAACTTCACATCTAAGGGTTGTCATTTATCAAATTTAAATTTTATTATTATTATTATTAATATTATTATTATTAATTTTATTATTATTATTATTATTATTATTATTATTATATTGTCTAGGGTTTGCACGTTACTGAATGAAATTGAACCGACGCCGCGAAGGTCAGAACAACCGAAGTGAAGTTGGTGCCAGTACAATGGTCGAACTTCACATCTAAGGGTTGTCATTTATCAAATTTAAATTTTATTATTATTATTATTAATATTATTATTAATTTTATTATTATTATTATTATTATTATTATTATATTGTCTAGGGTTTGCACGTTACTGAATGAAATTGAACCGACGCCGCGAATGTCAGAACAACCGGTGTGAAGTTGGTGCCAACACAATGGTCGAACTTCACGTCTAAGGGTTGTCATTTGTCAAATTTAAATTTTCTTTATATTTTGTTGAATAATTTTAGAATTAAAATAAAGTTTAAGTCCAACGTTATTATTATCCTAGACAATGTGATAATATGATAATTATTAACCCTAGATGATTATCTTCTATAATCTTCTATATATATAAAAATAATTCTATATATATAAAAATAAGTCGGGTTTTTTTACCGGGTTTACCAAAGAGCACTTCAATGAAACGGATAATTTGCAGATTCACTTTTATTTACTTAGAGAAGTTCAACTAAAAAACACTTTATTTTTGTAATCGAAATAAATTCATTACTGTTGTATAAGAAAATCATTTTTTTTCTTTTCAAATATAAAACAAACAAAAAATTTCTTCATCTTTCTCACGAAACCACCTGGTGGCGAAACGGAGTTCGTCGGGTTTGCTAGTATATTATTGAAATAAAACTTCTTCAGGCGCGTCTAGGGTGTGAATGGTTACAAATGCAACGGAAGTGCGTTACGGCCGAGTCGAGTGCTAATGATTCGTCATTCGCTCTCGATGATATCATTTCTATACGGGTCGATTGTGATTAGTCGTCGTTTATGTGAATAGAAATCTGTCGTTGTATGCATACCGGCGTCAACGTTGTATGCGTTCCGATATCAACAAGAAAATCGGCATAGATAAATAAACATTTTAAAGTTATATAGTAGTACAAATCTTGATTTGATATAAAATGCCTGAATCAGAAGAATATTTTACCCTGTCCCCCGTAAATAATTATAATGAAAATAATAAAACAAATATTTTAAAAACAAAATTTATTAAAGTAATTTCTATATTATTCGTAGTTTCTATAAATCTGTGAAGTTATTGAAATGGAAAATATTTTTTAGGCAAAACATATATTACAGCTGTTCAAAGAATGAGATTATATCGCCAGCAAAAAAGTAAAAAATTACCATCAGTCAATGAATGTATGTTCATTTTAATTACATGAAGTTCTTAATATTAGATGATGAGTGAAGTTGCACACAATTATTACATGAAGAGTGAAGTTGCGAAAACAATATTAGTTAATTTAGGCGTTGTTTAACATAATCCACTGTGTGAACGAATATTATAGAATTTATTAATCAGCAATTATTCATTTTTCTAATGAAGGTTAATTTCTAAATGCTAATTACAATGACCAACCGATCATGTCAGATTTGAAGTATGACTTTAATTACATTATTGCTTTCAAATATTATACATATTTTTAATGCCATTATAAATATATAATTTATAATTTATCATTATATAAATGTGTATAATGGTTGACACTAGTAAATGTGTGAATCACGAGTGTTACCACATTACTAATGAACTTTATTCAAAATTGTTATATGATGTATTTATTTTTACTTAAATGCCATCTTGTACAGTAGCAATTAAGTTTTACTTTAATCGCGTGTGAACCTTACGCGCACTCTTTTTTTTTTATCCCAGACAATGTGATAATATGATTATTATTAATCCTTCATTATTATAACGACTATTAAATTGGGCGTTTGGGCGTTATGTTTACAAAAAAATTGTTCATTTTTTTAAATTGAGATTTTGCAACCACTGAATCAGCCTTTCCAAAAATTTGAACAGTTCTTCGTTCAGTCAATACAAGTTATATGTTTTTTTAATTATTAAAATCGGACGCTCCGTTCTCTTAAAAACTGAGTTACCGTTTTTGGCACTTTTTGCGTGCCAAATGTTTTTTGAATTATTCAAATCGGCTGATCGGTGTTCCCGAAATCGTCGACGAAAATTTGTATCCGCACACACACACATACATTAATTTTTTCTGGTATGAGGTATCAAAATGTTCAGAAACCTTCAAAACGTGAAGAAATGTAAAAATTTTCAATTTCGATTTTTGGACTATTACAATAACTTACCCAACCGGAAGTTAATAATATATTTATTATCAACCCTTGATTATTATTATAACGATTATCATTATAACCAGGGCCGGTCCTATGCAAATGCGAAAAATGCAGGCGCCAACACGAGATTCGGATTTGAAATTTATAATATATCACCTATGTTTTTTTTAAAATAAATAATCCAAAATACTTAATAAATTGTAATAAACAATCTAACTTAACTGTGGATACGGAGACACAAAACCATATTTTGTTTACCGGTCTAAATAACTTTGCAAATAAGTAAATTATTCATCTGTTTATTGCTTTGTTTACTTATTAATTTACCGTATTAAGTTATTGTAATCGTTCAAAAATCGACTAGTGGTGTATGGAACTTCCCGTACCGTAACGAAATGTTCGAGGAATACTGAATGTTTTGAAATAGATTATTATAAATACTGTAAAATTGTCTAATATTCATAAGAATTATATAAACTGAATTGAAAAGTTAAAGTTATTTATTTAAAGTATATAACTGAGCGTTAGATCTTTAGTAAGAATTAAAAGTAAAATCTGAATTATTTTCGATATTCGATAAATTAATTATAAAATCTGAAAAATGTATCCGCCTGGAAAGTCAATATATTTAAAAGAAAAAATAATTTTTGTTTTGTATTACTACTTATATTATTTCGTAACTACCATTCCGCGAATGTAAAAACACTTCCACGTATGTAACAATTCACTTGTTTATGAATAAAAGCATATAATGAATGTTTACTGTATATTTTATACCATTTATACATTCTATTACATGCAAGAATATTTTATAACATGTGTCTAAATATTTAAATTCAATTTAGCAAATATGTTTATATTTCATTGATTTTCATCACGCTTCCGTCTATGAATTTCCATGTGCTTCTTCAAAGTGGTCGATCTATTAAATTTCTTATTGCATTTTTTACATTCATGAGGATGCGCTCTAGACATGTGTGTTTTCAGATTACTTAATTGTGTGAATTTGTTATTGCATATAGTGCATTCGTGGGGGCGCTCACCAATGTGAATTAGGTTGTGATTATTCAGAGTAGTTAATTGTATGAATGTCTTATTGCATATAATGCATTTATAGGGGCGCTCACCACTGTGAATTAGGTTGTGATTTTTCAGAGCACTTGAATGTCTGAATGTCTTATTGCATATAGTGCATTCGAAGGGGCGCTCGCCAATGTGAATTAGGTTGTGACTTTTCAGAGTACTTAAATGTCTGAATGTTTTATTGCATATAGTGCATTCGTGGGGGCGCTCGCCAATGTGAATGAGCATGTGAGTTTTTAGACTACTCGATCTTGTGAATGCCTTATTGCATATCTTGCATTTATGAGAGCGTACTCCACTGTGAATCAGCATGTGAATGTTCAGAGAACCTAGTCGTCCGAATGTCTTATTGCACACATTGCATTTGTGGGAGCGCTCATCACTGTGAATAAGAAGGTGATCTTTTAAATTACTTGAGCTTCTGAATGCTATATTACATATAGTGCATGCATGGGGTCTTAATCCACTATGAATCAGCATGTGAGTTTTCAGATGACTTTTTCGTTTGTAAGTCTTGAGACAGATGTCGCATTTGAAAGGACGTTCTTCGCTCTTACAAGGCATGTGATCAACCATATGCTCCTTTAAATGATCTGATTCTGCAAATGATCGATTACAAATGTCACATTCATAAGCTGATGTCCCAATTGACTCCTGTTTGACTTCTCCTTCTTCTTTAGTCACTTCGGTGTTCATGAATCTTTCTGAACACGTCTCATCGTCCTCAGAACACGATTCAAATTTAACAATTGCCTCAAGATCATCAATTTCGTGTTTAATGTCTTCTTCTGAATATTCTGGTAGTTCAATCTTAATTACCTGATCATTCATAGACATCAATGTTTCTTCCGACATTTTTAAATATTTTCTCTGTATTTTCGAATATTCAAATATACTCACTGAAGGTTTATGGAAACAGTGTGCTAAAGATAATCCAGTTTAATCAGTAATCTCTCTCAATATGTTAATGATTTCAACTGTATATTCAATTATCATTTGACATTTGAAGCATTGGAGCCTGCTAGATGCCTACTAGACAATATCAGAATATGATTAGATGATTAGAATGATATAATCATAGAGATGGCATAGATGTATGTTTGACTTTGTGTCTATATCCTTGGTCGTGTATGCATTCATAAACCATATATCTTTTAATACGTTTTCAATGTTGGTCTCATTCATCGATTCAGAATGAATTGAAACTTCTAGAAACATAAAATTGGAAAATCGGATTTTCTGTCGAAAAAATAGACTTCTCTTTCGTTACTAGGTGTGAGTGCAGTGTTGGATTATCCCATAGACCCGTGCCTAGGGCGGCACAATTTGCGGGGCGGCAAATTTTTCAGAATGTCAAAATTTTAAATCCGAAAAATTGTCACGGCGATTTATTTTAAGGATTGCTTCTGATCTATATAATTTTCTATGAAATATAATGTTATTTGTTTTCTATATCAAACTTATTCGAGGGCGCCTCATTAATATTATTATTGGTGTATCATATTTGAAATAAAAATTATCAAATAGATAAGCTTTTTTGGAGAAATATTGAAGCTATGTTCATTTTTTAACTTCCCGTAGGGTAAGTTATAGTAATCGCAAAAAAATCGAAAATGAAAATTTTTATATATCTTTACGTTTCAGAGGTTTCTGAACATTTTGGCATACCTTAGAAAAAATGGATGTATGTGTGTGTGTGTGTGTGTGTGTATGTGTGTGTGTATGTATGTATGTATGTGTGTGTATGTATGTGCGGATACAAATTTTCGTCGACGATTTCGGGAACACGGATCAACCGATTTGAATAATTCAAAAAACATTCGATTCGTATTGATAAGAAGACGTGCTGATTAGTTTTTGGCGAGGGCAGGTCTAGCCGTTCCGGAGATACGGGGCAAAAAGTGCCGAGAACGGTAACTCAGTTTTTAAGCGAACGGAGCGTCCGATTTTAATAATTCAAAAAACATGCAACTTGTATTGATAAGATAAAGAATTGATCAAATTTTCATAAAGGCAGGTCTAGCGGTTTCGGAGATCTAACGAAAAAAGTAAAAAAAAATGCCATTTGGCGGTCAAAAATGATCATTAGACATATGCACATCAAATTTTCAGATATTTTATAGAGATTTTAATAATAAGTATAAATTTTGTTTATTTTCCTATGGGTTCCGTACCAATGTTTACCCGTTAGACAGCGACGCCGCGCTTACGCGCTTTATATTTTGTCTCTATGCAGTTAAAGCAGTACGATTGCTTTGAAAAACAAGTTTAGATCTTCCAAAATATGTCAAAATAAAGAAAACATTTTTTTTTTCAAAAAAAAAAAAAAAATTAAAAAAAAAATTAAAAAAAAAATTTTTTTTTCAAAAAAAAGTAATTTTTTGTCCAATTTATAGTTTTTTAAAAATCTTATTATTTTGAAGTAAATTTTTTTCAAAAATGTTAATCGTTTTTAAAAAAAATAATAATTTTTGGTACGGGAAGTTCCAGCAATTTGCCTTAAGGCACGATGCCCTAATTGCCTTAAGACAGAATTCCACTTACAGCTAGTTGTAACTTTGTTGAGGTGAATCTTACATGCAAAACGCTTTAAAATGGTTTGTCTTGTTTTATTTCGGAAATTAACACATAAATATATTAATTGTTATTTTGTGATAATTGAATTATTTCTTGGTTCGTATATAATTTTGTTGTTCTTTAAAATGAATTCTATAAGATAAAACTGAATCTAAACTAAAATATCTGACAATTTTGTGTGCTCAGGTTCATTGATCATTTCAGACCACCAATTGACATTTCCTCCACGGGTAAGTTCGAAAAATGAATCGTAAATGCAATTGTTTATAAATATTTACGTTTCAAAAACTTCTTAACATTTTGGCATATCTTGAGAAAAATAGATGTATGCATGTGTATTTGCGGTTACATTTTTTGTCAACGCTTTTGAGACGAATCAACCGCGATTGAATGATTCAATTGTCAGGAAGACGTGCTGATTAGTTTTTGGTAATAATAGGTTTATCCATTCGGAATATTTGATTTTTATTGATAAGAAGACGTGCTGAGTAGTTTTTGGCAGAAGTAGGCCTAGCCGTTTCGGAGATTCGGAGTGCAAAAAAAAGCAATTAAGATTGTGAGAGAACGGAGCATCCAATTTAAAAGATTCAGAAAACACTCAAAAACAAGAACTGATTAAGTTTTTGCAAAGGCATTTCCAGCGGTTTTCGAGATCCAGATTTTTTTTTCCAAAAATGACATTTGGTGATCAAAAAACAGATATTTAACTACCCGTAGGGTAAGTTATAGTGATCGCAAAAAATCGAAAATGAAAATTTTTATGCATCTTTACGTTTCAAATCTGATTTCTGAATATTTTGTCATACCTTACAATTATCAAAAATGGATGTATGTGTGTGTGCGGATACAAATTTTCGTCGACGATTTCGGGAACACCGATCAACCGATTTGAATAATTCAAAAAACATTTTACTTGTATTAACAAGATGAAGAAATTATTCAATTTTTGGGAAGGCAGGTCCACCGGTTATGGACTCAATAAAAATAAGTTAAAAAATGTCATTTGGCGGTCAAATATGTTTACTGGACTTATGTACATCAAATTATCAGATGTTTTATAGGCATTTCAATAATGTGTAAACATTTTGTGTAATTTTTTTTTGGGTTCCGTACCAAGATTTTTAATTACGGCCTTAAGGCACGATGGCATGCACCCCACTAGTTTGTGATTTGAACCAACTAATATAAATGTGTATCACCCACTTTCAAGAAATTTTAAAATATTAATAATTAAAAAATAATATCCAAAAATTTTAGTTTACATAAATCAGTATTTTGAAGAAAGGATATTTTTTCAATTTTCAAAATTTTTAAATGTTTTCAAAATCTTCATAAATATTCAAAAAGATTTAAAATTCGCAATACAAATCTAATTTTTCTATTTTGGCACGATGCAATGCACCACTAGTGTTTTTACTATCAGGTGTATCACTTTGCAAGTAATCCTGGTCGAGTAAACCTTAGAACTTTAGGTTTTCCTTGTAAAAGTAATTAAAAGCTACAAGGAATGATATCTAATTGAAAACCAATGAATACTCACAAAACAGGGTTTTATTAAAAATAACATATATAAACTTATGAAAGTTTCTTATATTACATATATATATATATATATATATATATATATATATATATATATATATATATTATATATATATATATATATATATATATACTCTTAAATAAAGATATTTTATTTCATTTAAATAAATGCTTATAAGTATAAAATTTTCTTAAAATTAACTTAAACAAATAAATTTTAAATATCTCGATTCATTTTAATTATATAATACTAATATACGACCAGATGTCACCTAAGTATAAAAATATTTTAATTTTATTCTGTAAAGTAACAAAGCTATATTTTTAAAATTTCATAATTTCATTTTGTAATAATTGAATTCATGTGTGTAGCTAGAGAGAGCAGTTAGCATAAAAAAATCATCCTTACCTATCCATGATTAAATATCCAACATTAAATGTAGTGTTTCATATTACTAAAGTAAAAAAATCTCATAACAAATATTAATTCATCACAAATAATTGTCAATTTTAAAAAATTACGGATTGGTATTTGTCCTTTGTACAATGGATTTGATTATGTTTGCACACTCTAACTCATCTAGACCCTGTAATATATCGATCAAAGTCTGGTAGCTCAGGTGACCAGTGTTCTGAAAAAATAATAATAATTAATAAACCAAAAATTCTTAGGATTATCAAAATTAACAGTATTTATTATTGAGATATATTATAACAATATTAAGAATTAATTACTAATTAACTTCCCGAAGAAATTGATTTTTTCGACAGAAAATCTGATTCGCTAATTTCATGTTTTCTCGGAGATTCAAATCATTCTGAATAATTTAATTTGATATCAAAATTAGAAAAGTACGTATTGTAATATATGTGTATTACAATGTATTAAATTCGCTTAGGCACATATCATTTTCAGATACTCGGGATCGAAATAAGATACTTTGCTGAAGAAACCATATCTCTAAAATGAATTTTGATGTCCTGTGCATTGACCCAAAAATCAGGATTAAAATTTGAAACTAGTGGGGTGGGTGGCATCGTGCCTTAAGGCAAATTGCTGGAACTTCCCGTACCGTAACGAAATGTTCGAGGAATACTGAATGTTTTCAAATAGATTATTATAAATATTGTAACATTGTCTAATATTTATAATAGGTATATAAACTGAATTGCAAATTTAAAATTATTTGTTTAAGTTATATTAGAACTTTAGTCAGAATAAAAATATAATTTTAATTATTTTCGATATACAAGAAAAAAAAAAAAGATTATAAGAAATTTTTTTTTCCAATATCTATTATTTTGTTAGGACAAGCAGAAAGTTCTTTGAATCATTTAAATCGGACGCTTAGTTCTCTCAAAAACTGCCATTTTTTACATATGTAGCTCCATATCTTCGAAATGGCTGGGCCTGCCTTTACCAAAAACTAATAAACACTTCTCCCAATCATTACTAATTGAATGTTTTTTAGATCATTCAAATCGGATACTCCGTTCTCTCAAAAAGTCGATTTCTATTTTCTGCACTCTTTGCTCCTTATCTCCGAAACGGTTGGACCTGCCTTCGCCAAAAACTATTCAGCTCTTTTCCCTATCAATAGGAATCGAATGTTTTTTGAACCATTCAAATCGGTTGATCCGTGCGCCCGAAAACGTGACTGGAAATTTGTATCCATACATACACACACAAACATACATACACATCCATTTTTTCTGAGGAATGCCAAAACCTTCAAAAACCTTCAAAACGTCGAGAAATGTAAAAAATTTCAATTTCGATTTTCGGCACATTACAATAACTTACCCTACGTGAAGTTAAAAATCCATTTTGACCCATTCAGAGTGCCCCAATCGGGTCCAAATGAATGACCGACCCCCAATAACTTTGGAGGGCCGATCCACCCTTGACGTGGTTTACCCCTGGCGATTTCTCAAAATTCAACCCTTATATTTGCGTCAACGCACGAGACATCAAAATTTATTTTAGAGATATGGTTTTTTTAGCAGAGTATCTTATTTTAATCCCCAGAATCCCAAAATCATATGTGCCTAAATGACCATTAAATCGACTCGCAATAATGTGTATATAAGCCAAAGTTTGACCACGTTTTGCGAAAAGATCGACCCAGCCGTTTCTTTAGAATTAACAAAAAAATGTAAATTTTTTCGCAAAACCTTCTAAATTGATTTGGAAAATTTGAAATCCGCACCAATTAGTTTTTCGATTTCTCGTAATTAATGGCCGTTTTGTGGCGATTTTTTATAAAACATTGTATGATGACAAAATTTATAATAATAAATGAACATCTTCTGTAATGAAATTCTTCTGTAATGATATATTCTGTATGTAAATATACTCCTCCTAAACGATTACTTGGAGTTTGATAAATCTTTCTGAAGTTTGTTAAGGGATTTTTCAGGATGCATGTGATTATAAAAATATAGTCAAATTGTAGAAATAAATATAAAAATTGCAAAAAAACAACATATCATTGTTTGGCATTGATACATGCAAACTGTCATCTGCCAAAAATGACGATTCACTTGAAATTTAAATATCGTTTCGTTTAACCCTCCGTCGGTCGGCGTGGTCTGGCCAGACTTTTTTCGACTTCAATTAAAAAAATAAAATACTTCTAGTAATCCTAGACTTGAAATTTCTTGACTTTTCCTAAAATTTCATTAGCTGTCGATCAATGAAAAAATCAGGACGAAAAAATGTACAGAAGGATAATTATAAGGATATTAACTTTTTTATACTTCAAACGGTCGGAAAGGTCTGTCTAGACCACCCATACATTTTGTATGAAATGTACGCTTTTTGATAAATGTAAACCAGTATTTTGTCTTTTTTCATGGTATTTTCTATTCAAACTGCGTTGTATATATTCTTTGCTATGTGTTGTAACATGAATGTTAGTATTTTCATGACGAGAGTTCCTTGAAAACCTACCAAACTTATTTGTAATCGCAAACACTGAAAATCGGATGAGTAATGCACACATTATCAAAAATTTTTCTACCCTATAGCAAAATTATATTTTCACTGAGTTTTACAGCTCATTTCAAAGGCGACGCACCTCATTTCGTTTTCATTTGAATTTCACATTCATTTCAAAGGCGCCGAAAAAGAATAAATATTGTTTTTCATTGATATAAAACAGAAAAATTAACAAAAAAAAGCAACGATTTTTTATATTTTTTTATTTTTTTTATATAATATAATATGTAATGTTTTTATTATAAGCAAGCTCAACACATGCAAAAGACGGTAAGAAAAAGAAAAAATCAAAACTATAAATATTTACTACTAATAACCGTTAATATATATATAAATGCATGTAAAATGAATGGTGGTCCAGCCAGACCTTTACGACCGTTCGAAGGTGAAAAAATATCCGACCGACGGAGGGTTAAGCGAGCCTAGACAATATTTGCATAAAATATCCATATTCATGATTATAAATAAGAAAAAAGCAATATCTACAATATTATTGCCAAAAACAAACTGAGATGTGCCAAAAATTAAAACAATTAATATATTATATAATTTCATCTTTGAATAAATAACGCAATAAGTTCAAAATTGCATATACATTATTTTTTGTCGCATTTTCGTTCACTTTACTAAATTATTTAACAATACGAAAAAATATTTTTACTTATTAAAAATGATTTAAAATTTTGTTTCATGTGTCTAAAATTCATTTGCTTGGCATTGGACATGGATTTATTTAGCAAGTTGGTCTTAGATTGAAGAGTGCTCATATGAACTAGATTTTACAAATTAATTCACCTGAGATTTTAACATAAACAATAATGTTTATTAAATTATTAGTAAAAAATGTACTTTAGAAATTATAATTGCCAAAAAGCAACTAATATAGCGTACAAAACTATGAAAGTTATAGACTAAATTATTGAAGCAATTATGTTGTGTAAAATCAAGTGTGATATTGTTCTTTTACCGCAGGTACTATATATATCTATATATTTTTTTTGAATTTCTTATACTGCTTAAGACGATAAATGAATCCCAAAGGCAGGACATCAAATAGGATATCAAAAAGTATAGGATAGCAAATTAAAAAAATTGAAACTCTTGAATTGTAGACGTGAGTATAAGACAATGTCTGCTGGGCCATCTAGTATATATATATATATATATACATATATATATACATATATATATATATATATAATATTCTAATAATATTACTTGCCTCTATATGTCCCAGTAGGATTCTAGTTGGACTTTGCGATTCTTTGTCGACGAAGTTCATAAGTGTTGTAAATCCGAGCATTTCTGCCACATTTATCCAATTTTCCGATTTGTCCAAAATTTTTGACAATTGAATCACAGTGTCCTCGTCGAAGGAGCACACGTCGTTGTGTTCGATTTTTATTTGGGCAAACTCTTGGTCCAAGGCGTCGTGGAAGATCTCGGCATTTGCGGAAACTCTTGCAGACTCGGAACTTTGTTCTCGGTTCTTGGTATATTTTTTTAATAACTCTAGAATCTGAAATCAAATAATATTAATATTAAGACACAAAGCATTAATAATACTAGTTGGTATTAGTATTTTTCCTTGAGGCTACCCGATAAGTGTAAATAATCGACTAATTCAATAAAAAAATAATTAATTTATGAGTGATTAAAAGTATTCCGAGTGGATTTATTACACATAATTGAAAGCTAACAAACACGTTGACTCGGGGTATTTTCTAAAAGCAAATAATCAAAAATCAAATCAAATCAAAAATTTCCGTAGGACTTTAATGGTTTCGTATGTTCATTAAGACCAAGTACTCTATCGTTATACCAAGTTAATCGTCTAATTTTAATTTTAGAAAACGTGAAAAAAACTACACGTTTTCTCAAACTTTGATTAATTTTTAAAAATAAACTACTTGTCATAATGTTTCAGTAAGTTCTATACGACCATGATATATAACGCCAAGAAAAGTTCCATAAAAATCGGCTTATATTTTTTTCAACAGTTAATTACAAGAAAACGGCTCGGTAGATTTTCACCTAAAACTAATCAGTATCATTCCCAACTAATATCTTTCGAACAGTTTTTGATTTTTTAAAATCGATTCGGTAGTATGAAAATGTGGACGGAAAGTTTAACACTTTTTTCCAAATTACAAAGAAACGGCAATCCTCATCAAGATACATAAAATTTCTGAAATCAGTACAGTGCTGAGCAAGCGTCGATGAAAGGTCTAATTTAAGCCTAACAAATGCCTAAAAAACGATAATAATTTTTGCAAACTTTGACGAATTTTTAAAGTTAAACGAGCTGTCGTACGGCCATAAAATTTTAGTATTGTCTATAAGACTACGGTATCTACCGTCAAAAAAAAATCATAAAAATCGTCGGAAAAAATTTAACACTTCATTACAAGAAAACGGCCGGCCGATCTTTACCAAAAATTAATCATCAGCACGATTCCCAACCAATATCTTACGAACAGTTTTTGAATTTTCAAAATCGATTCAGAATTGCGGGCTAAAACGTGGACGAAAAAATTTTCACTTTTCTGCTATGGTGTCAATAAATTTTACATGAAAAAAAAAACAAGTGCATGTCAGATTGAATTTTACGGTTTATTAAAATTGCATGAAAAGCTTACAAAAGTGTACAGATAATTAAATAATTGCTTACAAAAAACCATACATAATCGAGATTCTAATGTGCGTTTGTGGAATCAAAAAAATATCTTACATTTCAATCAAGATATAGAAGCGAATATGGAATCGGACAGTAGACAGGAAGTAATATCATCTAGTAATAATGCATCTACAAGCCTCACTCAACCACATTCTGATGTCAAGAAACCTCCTAATTCATGGCAAGTAGTCAATTTCAAAAAAAGAAAAACTTCATTTGAACCATTAGGAATAGATGTCAAAATTCAAAACAGATTTTGCCCTTTCAACAATAGACACAGCTAATGACGACAACTTAGTAAACCGGCCCCAGTCAGTAGCCCCCTCCAATATTTATTTACGGAGTTGACGATATTAATGATTGTCTAATCAATTAAATGAAATAATTCCGCATGATCAATATTTCCTGAGAAGTTTGGCTAACAATACATTTAAAATTCTATGTAATTCTGTCGACCATTTTCAAACTTTATCCAGACATCTAAAAGAAACTAATGCCGTATATCATACATATCAATTAAAAGAAGAGAAGGCTTATAGGGTTCTTAGAAATGTACACTTTTCGACAAGCACAGATGCAATTAAATTAGAACTATTAAAACAGGGTCATGTCGTACGTAATATCCTAAATATTAGACATAGAATAACAAAGAACCTCTTAAATGTTTTTTGTTGATCTGGAACCAAATAGAAATAATAAAAATATTTATAAACATTATAAATTATTCAACTGCATAATACGCGTCGAACCACCGAGAAAGTCCAACAACATTATACAATGCACTCGCTGTCAACTCTTTAATCACACCAAAAAATACTGCAATAGACCATTTGCTTGCCTAAAATGCGGTGACAATCATAATACTAACGCTTGTACCAAAGATCCGAATGCTCCGGCATGTTGTTATTTTTGCGACGGTGCTCATCCAGCTAATTATCGCGGTTGCTCATACTTCCAAAAAATAAAGAACAAAGAAACAAAACTCCAGTAAATCAATCAGTCATAAATCCAAATCCAAATAACCAAAATTTAATAATTCTAATAATTCTAATTCTAATAATAAAATAAACAACATTTCTCCGGCCTTAAATCCAACAATTCAAAATTCATCCTATGCAGACATTGCAAAAAACAATTACTCTGCTTCTAATCATTCACCTTGAAATCCGGATTCTGATTCTCTAGCAACACTTATTTTAGAATTTAAAAATATCTTCAATCAGCTTTTGCAACAGAACACCATAATAATAAATATGTTATCCACGTTAGTCAACAACAAAAGCAATGGCAAAAATAATTAAAATTGCTGAATGGAATGCCAACGGTTTAATACCTCACAAAAATGAAGTAGAATGTTTTTTAAAGTTAAACTTAATAGATATCTTATTAATCTCAGAAACTCACTTCACTGAAAAAAACTACTTTAAAATTTATAACTACACTACTTATAATTCAAATCACCCAAGTGGCAGGGCTCGCGGCGGTTCGGCTATATTAATCAAAAATAATATAAAGCATTTTGTTCTACCAAATATTTCTGATGATTTTCTACAAGCAACTCAAATTTCTGTTGAAACAAATTTATATAATTTTTGTGTTTCTGCTGTTTATTGTCCACCAAGATTCAAAATTTCTTGTGCTCAGTTTTCTTCATTTTTCTCTCAATTAGGTATAAATTTATCATTGGTGGTGACTTTAATTGTAAACATATTGCCTGGGGTTCTAGACTGACTACAGCCAAAGGAAAGATTCTTCATGCAGCCATAGGGCAAAATAACCTCTCCTTTGTTTCAACTTGCAGTCCAACTTATTGGCCTTCTGACCCTACTAAAGTTCCAGACCTTTTAGATTTTTTTATTGTGAAAGGTATTGATCTTTCAAATCTCAATGTTGAATCTAGTTACGATCTCTCTTCAGATCATTCTCCAATACTTGTGACGTTTAGCACATTTCCTACTCCAGTTATCAACAATCATATTCTACACAACAATCTTTCTAACTGGATTCAATTCAAATCCATACTTGATTCAAAATTATTTCCAAAATCTAGGCCTACAAGCGTTATTGATATAGAAAATAATATAGATTATTTTTCTGAGATTGTACGTGAAACAACCAAGCAGATCACCCCGAACATTATTCCAAGAAATGATAATCTAATAATTCCGCAAGAGATTAAGAAGCTAATTGCACAGAAACGAAGAGCAAGACGTACCTGGCAACATTCTCATCTACCAACGGAGGATAAGACATCGCTCAATCATCTCAATAACACGCTGAGGAAAAAAATGAAAGAATGGAAGAATTGTACATTCAGGTCGTATATATTGCAGCTAAATAGATACGATAATTCATATGGAAACAATCAGAAACAA